CCCGCCGCCGCGCCGGTGACCGCGTCCGCGCCATCCTCCGCACCATGCAGTGCGTCACCGTCGGCGCCGGCGTCATCCCCTCCGGGTTCGGGTCCTCCGGGTCGGGCTCCGAGGAACTCATGTACATGCGCGCCAACTTCGAACACGTCGTCGGCAACGCCGATTCTGAGTCCTTTCATCTCATCAACCCCGACGAGTGCCCCGCCCAGGAACTCAGTGTTTTCTTGCTCCGATCCAGACTCGGTGCCACGCGTTGAGTCATGGGTTTTTTGTTTTATTTTCGAGCTTTATTTATTTTCTGGTACAGTAAAGAAGAAAGAAACAAACCCTCTTGGGAAATATAATTTTTCTTTCCTCAGGGGCTAAACAGAAAATTATTTGTTTTCTTTAATTTTAGAGCCAATCACACATTTTCCCGTCCAGAGTCAGAAACTAAATGAAATGGATATGGTATTGATATTGAGATTGAGATTGAATTTCTAATTACATATTTGAAGACTAAGTTATTTGTCAATGATACTGCACTATCAATTTTTTTTGAATATGTTGTATTTTTCTAACCTTTTTTACTTGTGAGATTGGAATCTTGTATATTTTTTTTCTTTTCTGATCACGTACTTGGATTGTAATGCTCATGATACCACACTATGTCAATTTTAGTTTATTGGTTTTCTTGATTTTTCTAATGTGTTGGAATTTTACTTTCTTTCTTTTTTTTCTTGTGAGATCCGTACACTTTGTTTAAGGGGGAGGGTGATGGGGGTGACTGTGTTGTTATTGTTGGCCATGTGAGTTCTGTGTAAAGTTGATGGGTATTTCTAGGACTAATCTCATCGCGAATACTGTATTCTTCTTGGCATTTGTCTATACTAATAATAATAATAATAATGTAACAGGGGTTAAACAGGGGATGGTCTAGGAATCTTTCCTATTTGGCTATTTCATTTATGATTTTGGAATTTTGAATTGATTACCTTATCAGTTATGATTCATTACGATTTCTTTCCATTACTATATAAATCTGCGGTCTCGGAGCCTTTCCGAAAGATTCATTACTTGTTTGGTATGGTATCTCACTGAAAATGTAATTTTTTTTTTCATCCAGAATTTGGAATATTTGTGGCTACTGGACATTTCAAAAATGTGTTAATTACTTGCTGTCAATCTTTTTGAGGACAAGTTGAATATATTTTCCCTTTTTCCTATCTTATGGTATAATTTTGTTTGTTGAGTCATCCCAAATTATATTATTTTACTAGTACCGTGTATATTGCATAATGTAATGGTAGAATACCAGCTAAGCTTTTACAACTAGGTGTGCAAGATGGGGTCGAACCATTCTTTTTCGTTGTACCCATGATTTGAAGATGGTGGCACACTAGTGTTGGTATCCACAAATCACTTTTCATTAGAACCTTCCTAGCCTTTAACACGTATGCTAGGCCTATATTCATGTAATTGGAGACCATTTGTTTGCTAATTTTTTTTGGGGAAGGGGGACTTTGGCAATCATTGATGCAGTTCCAGCACAACAACGATGCTTGGTTCAGCTTTTTGTTCATTGAAATTTCCAGCTATGTGTTAGCTAGTATATAAATTTTTATCAGGACTTGTATATATACATTTGAAGCATGCCAAAAATAGGGTTACTTCAATGCTTGGTGCTAGAGTTTTGAAGTGCAAACCGCATCACGTGATGTAGTCTATGATTGAGGACCACATATTGGCCCACATTAGCCCCCAAAGCAAATACAACTGCAAAGTTATCGCAACTACAATTATTTGGTGTGTATGAACATGTTATGTTACTCATAAAACTCTCCCACTTAAAATATTACCAGAAATAGGCCAGCTAAGGTTTAAGGGTAACTTAGGATATATTGAAATAGAGTGCACGAAATTGTTAGTGGAAATGGTTGCCGGTTGTTCCGGTGTGTAAAAAATTCTTACATCAACTGGAATAAAACCAGACATAATTTATAAATATTTTTTCTCTTAAATTCTTTTAAAGACAAAATTGTAAAAGTATATACGAGTAAAAAAGTGTAAATCATTTTAAAGGCCGTAATTCTAATAACAGTCAAAGGCGATATTTTCATAACAACTGTTTGGATTGCAACATCAGCAAGTGAGTCCAAAACTCATTTTCCACGATGAAAGAAAAGTGAAAGGACTTTTTTGAGGGCAATAATACAAAATAAAGAAAAGAACAAAATGAAATGGGAAGATTTTATGAATCTAACAATCTCGACCACCGAAGATTTTGCTGTCACAAACAAGCACTGTACTTGTTATAATTAAGCCTCTGTTGTGCTATTAGTATTTCCTGTGTTGCTGAAGATGTTGGAAGGAAAAGGTGTGGTGAAAGAGTCAGACATGTCAGAAGGGATGCAGAGCTATGTTATGGAGTTAGCACACCAAGCTCTCGATGCCCACCAAGTTTCTGATTGTCAGTCCATTGCTCATTTCATCAAACATGTCAATCTTAAAATATTCAACCCATTTAACTTTAGTTTTTCTGGTTGCTCTGCATATGCATGTTTGCCTCATGATTAGTATGTTGTTGCAAGTGTTCTCATGATGAAACATAAAGAATTATTATTCTTGTGAAATATGCTTAATTTGCATGTATATTTATTTACTACGAATATGTCGGAGAAATTCTATTCCTATTCATGTTTTCTGCGACATTTCCTACAACTAAGAAAATAGATAGGATATTAGGGGAAAAAAACAAGTGCAGGTCGATTATAGACAAAAGAAGACAAATAGAATATAAATGAGGTAATTTATTTCTTACAGAATAATTTTGTAAAGATGGGTTTACATGATTACATCTAAATACACATTTTAACACAATTTATTAAAAGGATTATTTATTATTTATACACATTAAAAGAATAACGTACCATTTATACACAAAAAATTATAAAAACTTTTAAAGATTTTAAAATTATAATAAATATTTTATAATAATAATAATAAAGTTATTTTTTTGTTCGAGTTAGACTTATTTTTGTACTTAGTATATAAATATTTTTATATAATTTATTTATTTCTATTCTCTTTTCCACTCATTCAAATAACAAAGTTTTTTTTTTCTTCACCTTTTTCATTCTTAGTTTTTTCTATTCAAATGATACATTTGTTTATTTTCTTTTTATCCTCCTCTCTGTTTCCTCCATAAATTTTCTTTTCTATTTCACTTTTGATGCAAAGAGAGTATAAATGAGTAATATGATGGTGGCAGAAAAAATAGGTCATAAAAAATAGGTTTAATATATTTTTAATCTCTATAAAATTTATAATTTATAATTTTATTTCTTATAATATTTGGTCTCTTGTTTATATTTTTTTTGTCGTCAATATTAATCCTATAATTAAATTTTATTTATTTATTTCCTTACTTTAAGTCTCTCTCTTAAATATTTATGTTGATGACAAAAATAAAATAAAATCATAAATGAATAAAAAAAACGAACTTAAATATATTTTTAGTCCTTTTAAAACATGTGAATTTTTATTTTAGTCTTTATAAATTTTTATTTGTTTTTTATTATTCTAAAATTTGTAAACATTTTTTTCTTGTAAAATAAGAAAATTTTGATTATAATATATGTAAAATATTTTTCTTTTATTTCTATCTCTTTAAAATCTAGAGTCATTATTTTTAGTCTCTAACTATCATTTTAAAATATATAGGTAATATTTGTTTTAATGATCTATAATTTTTTTAGAAATGTTAAGTATTTGACATAATATTATTAAAAATTATGGATAATATGAGAGATGACTACTTAATTTTTTAATAAGCAAACAAGTAATTGAAAATGATCACACAATAGTAAAAAATAAAAATTATAGTTACAAATTTTAGAAAAATAAAAAAAAAATCTTTACAAGAATCAAAATAAAGGCTTGTTCATTTTGTATGAACTAAAAGCATATTTAAATAAAAAATATAAGACATAGACCCTAAAATCTAAAATTTTATAACAACAAAAAAACATATTTAATCATAAAAAATAATTATTAAATGTATTAAAAAGTTACATATACACATATGATTCTTACTTCTACTAATTATCACTTAAGGTGTGACATTAGGATGATCATAAAACTTCATAATACTTCTACTAATTATCACTTAAGGTGTGACATTAGGATGATCATAAAACTTCATAATTTAGGATGGCAAAAAAATTTCACATTTATGAATAATTTAGTTGTGAAACTAGCAAGTTTGGCTTGACCTGTCAACTAAGTGAGAGAATCTGACCGAGATAGGATAAGCTCGACTTTTACATAAGTTATGTTTTCTTTTTTCTTTTTCCAACCTAACCTATATAGGCTTATCGGGTCAAGTAAGATTGAGCCAATTTAGTTTTAAATAATTTTATTTGTAATTTAAAGGGAAAGAAACACTAGGCGAAAAGGTCTGATTTCTTTGAGCTCAAATTACTCTAGTAATTTTTGAACTTAATTTATATTATCTTGTTTTAGTTTGACTGGTTTGTCAAGCTAAGCTAAATTAACCCTATCTTTTTTGGCCTAAAAATAAAGAACTTGGCCTAGGATGACCATGCAAGCCGACAAACCAACCCAATGGAACACACTAATTTTGACACATCTAATGAATATTTAGAGGTAAAACTTATTATAAATTGAACATAAATAGCTTAATGTTTAGTCAATTACTAATGTTTTATAGATGCACATATTAAGTGTTTATTACATTGAAAACAAATTATGTATATAAATAAATATTATATTTAAATATATAAATTATACATAAAAATTTAAATAATTAGATAATTCAAATATAAATTATATTTTAAATTTTTGATAAATAACTTATATTTTAGTACATTATTATTTTGATTTAATTGATTAATTTTTTTATATATTTATTGATAATTTATTTTAAAATATTAAAATTTAATTTATAAATAACTATTATAAATAAAATCTGAATTAGATATGAAATTAGAAGAATCTCTAAACATATCTACTATCAAAGAAAAGTTACTAAAAATAATTTTATACAAAATAATTATTTTTATTTTTATATATAAGAGTTGATTAATGGGACGAGATTAATAATAAGGTATCTTCAAGTATTCACGATTTGAGATTACTTAAAAGTATTTATAGTATACAAAATCATTTTTACTAATTTACTTTTAGTATATAATACATTTTAAATTTATTTATATTTAATATAAATATATATATTTCAAAATTATTTATTTTAAGTATAAATATTTGATTCAATTCCTTTTTTTGTTTTTACTTCTTTTAAAACTTTATATTTCATTAATATCTACATATATTTATAAATATCCATGTATACTCAAAATTCTTGAAGACCCACTTAATTGTTACTCTATGATCTTCATATTACTTTCTTTTAATTACTCTTTTTGTCCCCATTATTTTCATAAACTTTACATTTTTTTAATTTATTAAAATAATAATGACAATATCATGATTTTAATTTACGATCATATGGTATTATCATAATCCATCGCCATTAAGTTAATGTCAGTGATTCTATAAACTTAACATTTTAGTCCTTATTATTAAAAACATTTCATTTTATTAGTCTATATATATATATATTGATTTTATTCTTTTTAATCCCTATAGTTTATAAATTTTATCTTTTAATTTTTTATAGTAATAAAAGATAGAGACAGAAAAAAAAATAGTATGTATATATAGAAATTAAAATATAATATTTTTAATTATAGAAATTAAAAAGATAAAATTTATGAAATTAAATTGAAAAACAATTAAGTAAACTTTTTTTTTAGGAATATTATATTCTCTACACGAGTGAATCTGCTTGTAGTTGAAGGAATGCATGTAAAGTTAGACATAAAATGTGGATGCACATATTAAAAAAATTAAAATTAAAATTTTAAATTTAGACCCATGACCAAACCTCATATTGGTGAAATACTTTTTGATTAATTAAAGAAAAAGAAAGAAAGAAGATGTTAGATAATTGGTTGCCGTATCTAATGGTGGCCAGGAGACGGGGTGCGAGTGCGAGACAAAGAAAAAGAAAAACGAATGTTAATATTCCATTTCTGCAAAATAAGTTAATCCAAAAGTTCCAATGGATCAGAACAAATTCAAATAATTTTCCTTAAACAACATGTCTGCATCAATTATATAGACTTAAATAAAGAAGGTGTAGCATATAAGTATAAGGCATCGATCATCCCCTAAGACTTCCTTACCCTCTCTCTGGTTAGTGGGGAGTAGCAAGAATTCTCATGATTTTGTTTAGATCCTTAATTTGTCGCACTTGGACAAAATGTTAATTGTCTGGTGGAACAAATTCAAAAGCTTTACAAAATTTTTAAAATGCAAAGAACCATTGGGTCAACTTAATGAAAAGAAGAAGAGAAAATATATACAAATTTTTAGATTCAAATTTTAGTATTGTTAATTATCTTAATTTCAATAAATAAAACACAAAAATATTAGTAATAGAAGCTTTAATTCTTTCTAACACACATTTTTATTAATTGGAACTTGTTAAATATAATATCACAAATACGAGTCTCTCACTCCACATTTAATAAATGACACTCTAATTTATATATTTTTTTAATAAATTATAATAAATAAAATTAACAATATATTAAAGAGTTAGAACCCCAAGCGTGTGGTTCAGCCAGCGGTAGGGGTTGATCCACGCTTAAGCAAGGTTAGGGGTTCGAATCCTGCCTTGTGTATGCAGTCGCGTTAAATCTTGGGGCCAGCTATCCCACTCTTTGAGGTGCCTCCAACGTAGCGAGGTGGATACTTCAGGGACGAACAAAAAAAAAAGAGTTATCATTTTTTCGTATACAAGTATTTGCATTAAAAAAATCTTATATATAATAATATAAAAAAATGTCAATATAAATATAATATACATAGATATAAATTTATTTGACATATAACTATACATAATTTTATTATTAATTTTAAATAAAATTTAATAACATATATTATGTTGATAAATTTATCATAAACTAGCATGTTGTACGTAAATTTTAACTACAAAAGGGTTAACATGAGTACTTTTTTAAAAATATTCAAAGCCTCCCACACATATTAGAATCAACACAAACATAGAATCACCAATTCATTAGAAAGCCGTTTGATATTCCATATTATTTTTCCATTTTAAGTTACATCCGAAAGCTTACCAATATAGGATGGACCTTAAAAAACGTAACAAATTAACTATAGGCTCCTCATTATTCCTTAGTATAATTACTACATAACGACAAAAGCCAAACCTCATCTTTCGTTTGCTGAAATTAAGTACATGAACGAAATATGTCACTATGCTATCAAAATACAAAATTTCGAAGAAAACCGCAGATAAATGTCTTTTTCCTTGTTAGTTTCTCTTGTAAAGTTAATTTTCATTAGTTTTTTTTAATTACAATCATCTCCTTGAATCTTGTTTAAATGACACATACCTTCTCTCTAATTTTTAAATCACTCACCTTTCTTAAAATAAAATTATTAGTTAAAGTGAGAAAATGAAGAAAAAATACAAGTCAGTTGATATTTTGTTAATCATAAATATGTCTACCGTATTTTCTTTATGAAAATTTTCATTATTTTTTTACTTTAAATAAAATAATTTTTTCAAACCATTCTTTGAAATGATTTATTAAAATTTAATATATTTCTTTAAGTATAATACACATGATATTTATGATATAATTTAAAAGTTAAAATTAAGTAAAAAATCAATTACATTTAGTTTTAATTACTATATATATACTAAATGAGTTAATTAACGTAACATTATATTTATACAACATATTTTCACCACCCTGTCGAAACAATTTCATAAAAACATAAGTAAAAACAAATTCTCAAAAATAATACTTTTTTATATAAAATTTTATATTTTAAATAATGAACTAAACACGATGAAAATTAATATTCTCAAGTTTAGACTCTTGAAAAACTGGGAAAAATAAATTGTGTACCAAGGGTCTACTTAAGTGATTTCTGATTTTTTTTTTTATGAGAAGAAGTGATTTCTGATTATGACTTGGTATAAATTTCTTTACATTGATCCACTACTAGAATTTCTTTTATTACATGTGATTTTTTCTGCTAATTTTTATGAAAAATTCGCAGGAATATTGTTTCTACAAATTTTTCTGCGAAATTTTATCTGCAGATAATACCTTCGTGGATAATATATTTTTGCGAATTTTAAAATTCGCAGGAAATTTTCCTGCGAAAAAAATTCGTAGGAAAGTTTCTTGCAAAAAAATTTTTTTGCAAGAAAGTTCCTTGCAAAAAAAAAATCGTAGGAAAGTTTCCTGCAAATTTTTTTGCAAGAAATTCTGCAAGAATATTTTTTACAAAAAAAAAATTAAAGAAATTACTATAAATTCTATCAATAATTCTTCAACTTTTAAATGCTCATAATAAATTCATCCGAAACATTTATTTTCATGCGTCCAACATGTGATGCATAATCTTTTAAATTCTAAGATTGTAGATTATAAACCTAACATTCAACCATACAAATCAACTTGTAAGGTAAGTGTTGCCCCAACTTATATACTCTTTAATTGTTTTATTTTCAATTGACGTGGGACTTGAAGTTTTTTAAAATATTAAACTTATAAATTTAAATATATTTTTTTTTATTTTTCTTGCAGATTAAAATTTGCAGGAAAATCCGCAAGAAATGTCACCTGCAAAATTTTTCTACCATTTAGTAAACATTACTTGCGAATTTATTTTTGCAAAAAAATCTGCAAAAAACAAAATAAAATTCTTACAATATTTTCTGCAAATTTTTACCATGATAGACAGAAACTTGACGAAGCATATGGACCTGCGTGGAATTCCGTGGTTGGAAAAGACTTTGGATCTTGCATTACACATTTATGTGGAAGTTTCATATTCTTCCGCGTGAAGATGATGGAGTTTCTGATCTTCAAAGATGGGAAGGACTTCACCCAAAGCAGAGAAGAAGCTATTGGAGTGCTCCAATTAAAAGGCTAGAAATAATTAACTCTGATTCGTAAATTTCAAAATTATGTGATGGTTATACAAAAATGTTGCTTCCCAATTATTTCTGGTTAATTATCCATATTGAATAAAATATTTGTCCACGTACTTCTGTTTCTACATAAGTGCTTCTATCTGACACTCTCTAACGAACAAAATCTATATTAGCAACTTAATTTACTCATATTGATAAATTTCACAAACACGCGCAAAATATATTTATATATTCATAAAGTGTACTTCATCCTTAATGGCTTTATATATTTATTCTGAGAGGTAAGTTACATATGAATTATTTTGATCCTCTTACCTCTTGCATAAACACAAAATAGATACATGCAAACAAAATAAGAGGATCAAGTGTTGAGCACTGAATCTTACATAAGTAGTTAGGACACTCGTATAAATATAGGACATCTTTTACCTGTTTAGCCTGTAGAGAGGTTCAACGTCTCACGGTGCACCAGCAATCCCGCAAAGGAACTCCAATAGCAGTGCAATCAAATACAATAAAATTAATATTGAGATTCCACTAATCATTAAATAGATGTATGATTTGAGAATTTCCAACATTTCATTGACCTTCGATCGGTTTGATAATCCTTAGAATGTCATCTTCATTGCTATATAACTATGGAAGTAAAGTAAAGATGGATGTGAATTTTATCGAACTGGTTTATATGCTCTATATATTGGTCATAGTACAAGGAAGTGGTAATCTACATCCCAAGGATTAGACTCGATAAATATATAGTTTCTAAACCTCAGGATGCAGATTACCTGATCCTAAACCAATACGGTCTCTTCCAAGATGGTTTGAACCAATGATGGTTGAAGAATGTAGCAGGTCGATTGAGTCCAGTCGTGTTTGGTCTCAGAAACTTATAGTAGTTAAAGCTCAGGAATAATGAAATGAATAAATTCTTGCTGAATTTAATATTGCCATTTGGGTCTACATAGAACAAAAATTATTAATTGTAGCAGTCTATGCCTGTCGTGTCGTTGTTGTTGTTATATATATAAAAAGTTAATTATCTATACACTGTTAGTGTAAAGTTTTTTTACACTGATAATCAATTATATCTTTTAATTATGTCATGTCACTATATAAAAGATATAATTGGTTGTCAATATACAAAAACTTTAAGTGTAAAGTATATGGGTGATTAACTATATATATATATATAAATCAACGTTAATAAAAAAGAAAATTTATAACACTCCTACACCATGTTAAACCACTTGAGTTAGGCTCCATTTGGTCTCTACCTCTCGTTTGTGAATTCTGTTTTTTTTTTTTCCAATCGTATATAACTACCACTTATTTTACATAATGTTTTTTCTTGCTATTTATCAAATTTCTTCATGAATTAAATTCCTCCATCGATCTGCCCATATATATATATATATGAAGAGAGATTGATTTACTCAAAAAATAAGTCTAATTTATTCTATTTAATAACTCATATTTTACATTAAATTTTAATGATCAAACTGTTAAATTTAAAGTTTTTAATGCATAGAAGTTTTTAAAAAAATTAAAAATTATTCGATATTTTGTTTCATTAATTTAAATTGACGTATAAAATAATTTTATGATTATCCATCAATTTGAATTAATGAAACGAAGTATCAAATGATTTTCAGGTTTTTTAAAATTTGCAGGTTTGATCTATTCATTAAGAACTTTAAATGTAACTGTTAGATCGTTGAAATTTGATGTAGAACATGAGTTATTAAATGAAGAAAGTCTAAGTAGACTTGCTCTTTGAGTAAACGGATCCTTCTTTCTCTCTACACACACACACACACACATATATATATATATAAAGAGAGAGGATGTGTCAAATGACTCAAAGAGTGACTCTTAATAAAATTATTTCACTCAATAACTGATTATATGTATTAAATTTCAACGATCAAATCATTAAATTAAAAATTCTTAATACACAGATTAAGTCTACAAATTTTTAAAACTTTAAAAATTATTTTATACTTCGTTTCATTAATTTAAATTGACAGATAATCATAAAAACGCTTTATACATTGATTTAAACTATATAACAAAGTAGCTTATGATTTTCAAAATTTTAAAAAATTTGTAAACTTGATTTATGCATAAAAACTCTTACTTTAATGGTTGGATTGTTGAAATTCAACATAAACTATGAGTTATTGAGAGAAGTAACTTTATCAATAATTACTCTTAAAGTCATTTGATCCATCCTCATATATATATATATATATATATATAACTTACGATATATATATGAGAAGGGATCTATTTACTTCAGGAATAAGTTTACTTAGTCTTACTCCGTTCAATAATTCATGGTTTATATCAAATTTCAATGATCCAATTGTTGAATTTAAAGTTCTTAATGCATAAATCAAATCTAAATTTTTTTTAAAAAATTTAAAATCATTTAATACTTTGTTTCATTAATTCAAATTGACGTATAATCATAAAAATAGTTTATATGTTGCTTTAAATTAATGAAAAGAAGTATCTAATGGTTTTCAAAATTTTTAAAAATTTGTAGATTTGATTTATGCATTAAGAACTTTAAATTCAACTATTGGATTGTTGAGATTTAATGTAGAGTATGAGTTATTGAACAGAGTAAATCTAGGTAGATTTACTCCTAAAGTAAACAGATCCCTCCTAAAAACTATGTATATATATGCCTAAAAAATGTATCACAAAAATTTGGAAAAAGAGAATTAAAAGTGAATAATAGGGATGTAGGGATGAAAATGGGGCCACATGGGGACATGTAGTAGGATACTCGTCCTGCCCTATCAGATAAAGATCTGCCCCTTATTCGTTCGAGTATCTATTAGGTGGATACTCGTGAATTTTATAAATATTTGTGAATATCTATAGATATCCATAGATATTTGTGATTTGAAAAAATACAAATAAATTTAAGTTTGTATATGCTAATTTTATTGAAATATTAAAGATATACAATTGATATTAATTTATGAACTTGCATTTAACATTATTTTTTTTTTGAAATTAAAAATAATACTAAAAAATGTAAGATAAATATATAAATATTTAACTAATTTTACTGGGTACCAATGAATATAAATACTATTATACCCACTTCTACAATATTTATTAACAGGTAAAAACATACCTATATACATTATATATATATATATATATATATATCAATTTTTTTTCTACATATACCCAAAAAGTATGGTTTGTTTTTTTCCCATCCCTA